TGCCAGCTCACCTCCACCATTTTTGTAGCACAAATATGGAAATCTCCAAACGTTGCCAAGCCCCACCGACATGCCCACACAGGCGAGCAAGAAGTCAAAACGTCGTTTCCATTGTTCTCGCTTCGTAGGTTCGTGTTCAGCACCGTTGTCCTTGGAATGGACTAGGTCGATTTGGCCATTCGAGTTCTCCGAGACTTCATAAACACAAGTGGTCTGAGCAGTCCCAAATGTCATTGAACTGGAACCGATGGAGAAGTCGCCATTTTAGGGGAAAACGCTTTTTAGAAAGTTGACACAATTTTGTGTGTAGTCAATCCCCAACCTGACGAGCACAAATTTAAGTTGAGTGACTTTAGAGAATGTTACTACCACTACTACTAATAGTAGTAGTCTTTCAGCTGTGACGTCCTCTCGGTGCTTAGGTGTCATATAACCCGAAGAAAGCATCAGGGCCCATTCCATTCTAGACAGGAGCAGTCGATATGACTAGGTTAGGATGGGACCATGGATATTCCAGTCAATAAGTTCATGCCTGAACAGCTTTCTGGGCTAATTGCCAGCCAGAGAAAAATTAGGTGACCATCAACGATCACTTGTTGAATGTTCCTTTTTACTAATTTCCCTTGGTTTTCATGCAGGTTGAAGCCAAAAGATTGTTCTTCTTGGTCGGGAAGATTATACCAATCCGAAGAGTGTGAACACCTTCCTAAAGAGTCCTTTCTTGTTGTTTTGTCACGTTTGGGGGTCGTAATTATCGGGGTTTTACTTGATAAAGAGATTGGAATGCTTGATAAATTAATGGAGCACCGGAGTGAACTGCGGGTACCAAATGGAACTGAGTAAATCGGAGAGTTTGCTCAATACACTCGCTCACTTGCAAGCCAGGTTCATGTTCACGGGGGTAGACCAAAGTGAATCCCAGCTTAATCGTTGGTCTATGACATTCTTCAACTGAATTCACTGCACTAAGAATGCCTCTGTCGGGACGGTTTTCAAAACATCGCAGTACATTTTCTAGGCGCGACACACTACTCATAGGGCTGACAAAGAGTTTTCAGGCGATTCCCAAATTAACAGTGGATAGCTCCAGATGATGCAGTGTTTAAACCACAAAGTTACTGACTGAATGTCAGTGATTCGGTATCTCGAATACCTCGACAGTGTCTGAGCTCTCTTACTTCCTTCGGGTTGCTTGGCCAATAGGCACCGAGTGTTAGGGCTGAACGATCATAGATTACTTATTATTGCTAAATAAAATAAAAACTAAACAGTAATGGACAGCATGAATGCATCCGTCGAACTTCAGTCAGTCGCGGTTAATCTTGGCTGATCTGATATTTGCCCTGTAACTGAGTTTCAACCAGTTTTAATAATAAACCCTTTAGTTTTTCGTATGTGCCGTTCAAACGAGTGTTGCGAATGTGAACACTACAAATCGCGCAATCACCCACAAGTGTCTGATCGGAAAATCCTGACAGGCGGACCAATCGATCGACACATCCAAGGTATGTTACTGGGTCGACATACGAGGAGTCGGGCATACTAATCGCACCGCTCAAGCGTGAGCACGTTCGCCTGTTTAGGCGTGAAAATTCAGGTGCGTTTAGGGTGCGCTAGTGGAGGTTAATTAACACGCCCGTCCGCATGTGACATATCCGGGGTTGGAACCACGCGCGTTCAAAGACATCCGACGGTTTTGAGCTTCAATGAGAGCGAAGATCGAGTCCCCCTTTGGCATGGCCTTACTAGAATAATCAAGCCAAGATAGCAGGATGACTGTTCAAACGAGAGTTATGCATATATGAGCACTATCGGAATTGCTTCCATCCATTAACAATCTCAGAGACTATGCGATCAGCATCCTGAAAATAGGTTCCCCGATTTTATTCAACCCGGTTCTTGAACTATCTCGTCAACCGTACAAATAGCATAATAAATAGTCGTTCAGCTGTGCCCAGCTGAAGGCACGAGGGCTGCCGGGTTGCCCAAGTCTAGATGGGAGCAGTCCCAGAAATTAAAAGACAAATTCAATTCCTTCATATCCTGGAACCATTTGACATAGAAGGTGGATAGAATTTCGCAATAACAACAGTATAACAATTGATTTTGTTCATCTCGATCACCAACCTAAAAAGAGGTCATACCGACTGGCTACCGACTTCATTTAACCCGACTCATAGTAATGTGAGTAGATTTGCGAATTTCGATGGTGATTTCTCGTTGTAAGCGAAGCCAATCGATGTTGAAAAGCCAAGATCACTCGTGGCTTTCAGCCGTGAGGGTTCGATACTTCGCGGGTTTTCGTGAGACGCGCATTGCTGATGGTTCCCAATCAGGCTGAAGCAGTTTTGGAGACTTTCTCAGCTTTCCAGCGCAGAATGGCTCCACTTACATGACGAAATCTCCAATAAAAGTAAGCCGATTCATACCACTGTGCAAGGGAAAAGATTCAGTTTACTGGACGTTGAGCAGAGTATCAAACAGTCTGTCGGTACTGAGTGTCAGTCACTTACAGGAGGACCAGAGAGCGAAGGCCTCAACATCACATGACCAGTCATATGGGTGATGTGTCACAGGCTACCGTGACTCATTCAATTTTGGCAACTGGGCCGAGCCACAGGCAGTATGTTTACTGCCTGGTTAAAAAAAGTACTTACGCAATTCAACCATGGGGAACACCTTGTTCATAAATCACCTATGTAAGCTCACTTCTGGTCAGTTAAACTAAATAAAAATTCCCAAGTTATCCACCACATCTGCTTACCGGTTGTCAATCAGAAATCCTATAATTGCGCCTGTCGACTGAGTTCTACTCGTCAGTTCCGAGACAATCGAATCAGATTTATAAATATTGCTTTTGCATCGATCGATTGCCTGTCCCGGGGGTTCCTGCCCTACGCTGATTGGTTGTTGACGGTGTTACTCGGACATGAAACTTGTACTTTGCATGCCTGACAAAGTCGACATACCATTCATTCGTTATGTGTTGGATCATACATGATCAGGTAGAAGAAGCAAAGTATGGAGCTACTGATACACTGGTAACCACGTGCTTTCTTGCTCTGTCGTTGCAGTTCACGCGTGAACTGGTTCATGAACAACCCTTGTTTACCAAAGAAATGCAAATCAAAAAGGAGATATGCTAATCGGTCAAACTTTTCTTGCAAACGGAAAACCTTGAACAACCTTAAAACCATAGGGTACTGGGTAACTGGGTGACCTAGGTTGTATTAAAGCAGCCTGCCAAAATGACTCGCGATATGATAAAGTATTCATTGGACCCTGAAATTCTTGAAAAACGTCTGTTCATGGTGACCGTTTTTTTCTAATGTGAACTTTCCACATACCGATACATCCTTTGGACCCATGCCCTAATTCCGTGCTTACGGTAATACTGACAAGTCCGGTAGAGCTCAGATAGTAGTGTATTTGTCCACTACATTTTGTATGCAAGGAGAACTAGATAAAAAAGTTGCGACTCCACTTGACACTCTGTCAGGGTGTACAGCAACGTTACACATAAGATCTTGGTGTTTTTTGACTTCCGTTTTGACTCTGTCATGTTAATGAGCAGTTCGACGCGCTGTGTCACGAGATCTTGTCAACTTTGAATGAGAAGGTATCCAGAGAATTCCCACAAGATGTGGCGTCATGGTCGCGGTCGTGATCACAGGGCTTCATTTGGAGGTGGACGAAGTCCTCGTGAGTTTTAACGTAATCTCAATGTACACAAACATCCCTAGGGCAGATGCTCTGAAGGTAACTAAGAGGTTGTTTTACTGGCAGACACGACACTCGGGAAACGGACACAGCTCTCGGTCGATGAAATAGTTGATGGCATAAAAAATTGCTTGAATCTCGATCAGTTGGTCTTTGCCACAACTGTTTATTCACAAGAACAAGGTCTAGCAATGGGACTTGTATTGTCCCTATATTTATACAGAGGACTTCGAGCAAATTGCGTTGGCTGGATATCACTTTCCACCGAAAGTTCTTTTGGCGTTATGTTGACGACACGTTTATCGTAATCGAGCGAGATAACGTGAACAGCTTCCACGAATACCTGAACAGTTTAACTCCTCAGATCAAGTTTAGCATGGAAATAGAGTCCACCTCGGACACAGTTTTCTTTCTGGACTGTATAACACACAAGACTGGTCGGAAATTAAAAACTACTATTTACCAGAAACCAACAGACGCAGGAAACGTCTTAAGCCACTCATCAGCATATCCAAAGTCCGTGTACGCCAGTATCGTTTCATCGAGTCAGAGCACTGTGCACAGAAGAGATCCTCCGACCAGTAGCTCAAATCGAGATCACCAACTTACTTCAAGAAAATGGATATCCAGTACGTTCGATTAGGCATCAACTAAGAGGGATATTGGCTCCGGTATCTAGACCCAGTAAGGAATGGATTGGCACAGCAGTCATTCAATAAAAAGCAAAAACATTGGAGGTTATTTGAAAACTGCTGAACTTAGCCAACATTCAAGTGGCTTTCCAGAAGGCAAAAACGCCACGCTCAGTTTTGGTGCAGTTGAAAGATCCCCTTCCGGTTGAAAGGTCTAGGGATTGCATGTATAAAACTGACTGCAGCGATCGCACTAAGGTTCACATAAGACAATCTGCCAGGAAATTGCACGCCAGAATTCATAAGCATAAACGGGGAATAAACAAAGCACCAAGGAATGCGGAAGAATACCAAACGCTGGTCAAGGACTCAGTCATGGCATAACGCATTAGACACAGGACCTGAAACAGAACTGGAGAACGGTTTAGGCTTAAGACGGTTCATACCACAGCGGCTGATAGTCGACCATCACAGCGTAACTAGAATCCTAGTTGTGGAACTGCCGAGCCTATGGGAAGCCGAGTTGACACGTGACTGTATGATTTTCAGTGCACATAGAATCATTAGCAAATACAGAGGGGTGGAAAGCGCTGCCCGACCAAGGGTAACAGCTTCCCTATTCACAACTAGCACCAGTTCATCCACACAGACGGACGAAAAGTGCAAACACGTTCAAGGGGGAATCATTACGTGAACCGAGTCAGGGAACTAGACACTAAGCTGGACCCGAATCCGTGTAGGTTGCTCCAGCGGCTAAACACTCGGTGATCCACCCTAACAAACAAAATCCCTTGAGTGACCCCACAGAGATTTAGCTTAAGCTGGTTAATTGGCTCTCCTCCCGCTGTAATCTTGACCAAACTCCTAACCTAATCACTTGGTTTGA